CGATGGGGTAATCTTATCCCAAATGGAAAATTAGTCAGTTGCCAAAGACTCCTGTTTTGAAATTTCAGAATATTTCCACTCGGATCGAGATCCCCATCACACCACGGTTTCAATAATACCTCGTAGTTCGTCTATTCAGGCTTAACCACTCCCCGATACAAGGTCATTTTTGGCATATTGTGTTAGAAAAAGTTTCAAAAGACGTAACACATATTAAAATTAACCAAAAGGTAAAACTTTTGGATTACATAGGTGTCTAATTCCTATATGTATTTCATTATTGTCATGGAAACTTGTTCAGAACGTTTTTGCGTATTTTGTACAAAGGTTGTTGGATTGTACAACGCTACACTTTGTGCGCTGAGCCAATTAAAAAGCTATGGGATAATAGCATGCGTACATGCATCGCACAGTTGCTCGACTTGTATCTTGATTGTATAACCAACCGACCTCCGGCACATATTCACACAAGCACGCACACGTTACATAATGGAGGCGAGACTTTCAAATGCCATTAGCTGTTACTAGAACGTAAATGAAATAAAATAAAAACCAATCCATGCGTAGCAACACCTGATAGAATAGCTAGGATACTAAGTAATATATCCCAGATCGATCAGATCTACAAAAAATGACATTTTATCTTCTTTGCTTTTTATTGTCCTTAAAGGTACTAGGACATGTTGGAAACTTCAACAGGAATCTTGTACCATTATCTAAATTTTATTACATCATATAGTATTTGCTACTTTGATAAATATTATTGTATGGATGAGAATATCACACCTTTATTCAAGTGTTAAAATTTTGCAATACTTACATAATAAGTGCTGTTAATGACGGATGGACTTAAGGGCAACGGGTATTTTTAACAAAGGGAACACAAAATCAAACTAAAATAATGATACCAAAATTGAATTGTCAAAATTCAAAATGGCTGTGTGGTAGCCATCTCGTTTTTCATATCGGTCCCAAAGAACGATATGCATAACTTAGGACCTTCATGTAAAATTTGAGAAAGATCCCTGAAGTACTTTGTGACAAATAGCGCTTTCAAGAATTGTACAAGGACAGACCACGGACGCAGGGTGATTTGAAAAGCCCACCATCTGATAATGGTGGACTGAAGATGTGTTCAAAGTTAATAGCAGATGTTATGATTGATTGCTTGCTAACGTCACAACTAACATCATTATTTGAGTCAGATAATTTGTTTGAAGGACTTCTTTGCACGTGACGGATTATTAACACTTACACGTGTAAAACCTCATCTTGAAGCAATCAATTAAACACTTTCTCCTGCGAGTTTACCAAAGTTAACGGTATAAAAATCAATTCAAGAATTTTCACTAATGCCACGATGAATACAATTTAACCTCTGCTACCTCAGTAGTACAAACGCCTGTTACCAGTGAAGGCGAGCATTGTTTGATGGCTCCCCAGAACCGCGCCGTCGAGCTGGCAGGTAGCTGGCGAGCTGTCGGCAAACTTATCGTGCTGGTAAGCTGTCAACAGCTAACCCGGGGCGTCTCGGAACCAGTATCATGTTTCAGCAAAGTCAGATCACGATTAGCAGTTAATGAACATACTTCATGAAAAACATCAACAGAATAATAGATACAGCAAAAAGGCGTTAATGGAACATTTCGATCTAAGGCTGATAACCTCCTAGCGAAACAGTCCGTGACGTTTAGCTATAAACTTACTATTTTGCTTGCTTCTCCTTAATCAAGCTTACATGCTTTCTGTCCCGGAGCACGTGATGTTGACCAAATTTAATTTTATATATTTTGTCTAATGGTGAGATTTTCGGTTGTCTTGTAATAAGTATTACATTGTTTGCTTTGTTTGAGGATTGTTTTACTATCTCACTACGCCAGATCCCTTTTCCCCCATTGTATAGCAATATATGTGATCAGGCCAATGTGCTTTTTTATAGGATTTAAAAGCTAATGTCGTTTAAGGGCGTGCCTCCATGTGTTTAATGTTTGTTGTTTTGTGTGCTAGAGGCGGTATGTGGGTTTATTTAGCTTATTGCGATAGCGCAGATCTAATACCCACTGTGTAGTGCTACCACACTGAATAACTACCAAAGGAACCCAGCATTCCTACCGGTCACATTATACCGACTTTGGGTAGACTAGTTTGCAATTTCATTATAGCTAAATGTTAAACGTAAAGCAGAGAATAACAATAACCATCTTTAAGGACATTAAGCATGTCCCGTCCTGCGAACAAAACTGTCCCCTTTCTAAAATTGAAGAACGTTCAATGCTAATGTTAAGTAGTATCATGTGTGGAGTTTGAACAGGAATAGAAGGAAGGGGATAGCCCTGTGTCCTTAGCTGTTAATAGCACAGTCAATCCTATAAATCAAACAAACCGAGACATTATGCCTGTTTTGATGCGCTGTAAATACATAGGTTGGAGCTTCGTTAAGCCTCAGGGAATCTAATTAGATAAAAAAAAAAAAAAACACCATACGAATGGACGTCCATTCGACCTCATAGAATATGAACTACACGGCCGTCAATACAGGATAATTAACGTGACCTCGCGAAACTTCTCTACAACATTCGTCAACATGGGTTAAGCTTCCTATATATACAGCTTAAGTCATTGACACTGATATTTCTATAAAAGCAGAAGAATACGACCAGGAGACGCATTCATGAAACCGATCTCATGCTTAATATCCGATTCTGTGCTCCCGGAAAAAATAGTTTTTTTCCAGTGATTAAACATTAAAAATCAAATTTGTAGATTTTGCGGAATATTTTGAAGAGACTTCAAGCCAAATAACGTTTTTAATGTCAACAGCCGACGTTTTGATATTGGCAGATGAATAAAGCAGGTAACAAGAAAGGTAGTTTCAGTCCATAATCAATGCTGAAGCATAAGAACGGTTTTAAGAGTAAGGACATTGGTGTTCTAGCAGTATATGATTAACCGCCTTAAACTTCCGGGTAAATCTAGGTCAAATCACCTGCTCAAATTTAGCAGCGGCACGGTGACAACGAAACAATAAAGTACAATTACGATCATATAATTCCTAATGAGAACATGAAAGCGAGGTAAAACTTGCCAGCAATCATTAAAGAACTACGACACTGTTTACATCATAACATACTTGCACTACCGCTCAGGAAATGTTGCACAGCTTATCAGAAGCTATAGCAACCATCTTGAACCACGTAATTGACAATTTGGAATTCAATTTTAATTATATGCATTGTGTATCATTTGTACAGGGAATGATCAAATACAACCAAGTAGAACTCAAGGTATTGTGTCAGTCAATCAGGGACCATCTTTAACTGTTGTGACCTCGATGCTGATTGACTTCTAAAATTAACGGACCAATCAGTGTCGAGGTCACATAAATAACAGAAAATGGCAGTATCTGATAAAAAAAAATCCGACGTCGGCCTGATTGATCGTGTCGTCCCAGGAACAGCAGTGTCCGACCAACTGAAATTCGACCATTTTTCGAAGTCTACCAAAACTTATACTGCAAGATATATGGCAAATATGTATCAAATTGAAGTCAATATTTTCCTGTCGATCTAAACTGCTTCTAGCATCGATTATGAACGGTTATAACAAAATCCCATGTTGTCTGGAACGGTGTCATTTTACTAGGGGGACAGTGTTAGAAACCTTGATTATAGTTTGGGTGTTTTGACAGACGAGACGAGTACTTGCGATGAAATCGACCTATCAGTTAAGTACATGTAGATACTGTCTAGACAAGCTTATATAAACCGACAGACAAACAGATGGACAAGCTGTTTTGTATTAAATGTATGCGTGTATTCCTCAGTCGGTATGTTAGTGTAAACTTGCGATATTTCTTTCTCTTTTCGGCAGTATGTCCCTAGCGCCCTGGCTGTTGCGAAGACGTTAAACGCCAAACAAGCGCTAGCGCAGATTTGATGCTGACTTAAAGTGCTCCCTCATTGGCTTAACAGTATCGAATGAATCAAGCACAGTACTTCCATTCATATTTTGATTACGGCTTAATCCGTCAGTGCGTTTTCATTGAGTGTGAACATTGTGTAGGGTTTTGAAATCGACTGCATTAATAAATCTAATTGGTAAGATTGACAAAATATGTCATATAACATTTCGCCTTTAGAAAAAACTTATGTCAATTTTGTTGAATCTACACTGTTTTATGGCTTTTGTACCACAGGCAGTATTTCAGTGATCGAATGACGAAGAAATCACATTCATCAAATCGTCATATTTGGAAGTATAGAATTGTATGGGCCCTAATGGACAGCTGCTCCCCGTCAATATCCTCAATCTCTGTGAACATGAAATATTGGAATACTTGATCAGTGTCAATATAACATATGGATTGAAACTGTGCCGACACAATTTCCCATAATTCTATTATGCATTTCTATTATTCTTTTCAATCTGAAATCACATTAGAGCACGCGGATGTGACGGAGTTTATTGACCGGATGTGTTGGCGGGGTATGGCTCTCGCTAGGTTACGTTGTTAACTCTGTACGCTTTTCACCGCTTGTAGGAAATATAGAATATTGCTTATTTAGATAATTGCATTTCCCAGAAAAATTATTCTGCGTTGCTTGCGTGCTATATGTAGCTCCCCCTCCCTAACTCTGCAAGGCTCTAGATTCTGATATCAAATAAATGAGGATTATTTAGACCCGTGTCGATTTTGCAGCGCAAACTGTACTGTTATATACCAAGAAAATGTTTGCTTTTATCTGAGCGGAATAGAAAGCTTTAAAGGAAAATTTAGTTTGGATCAAATAATGTTTGTACTCAATAACCGATAACATTTTTAACAGTATGAAACGTGCAAGATTCACAAATTGTTCAATTTCGTTCTCGTCAATTATTGTAACGTGTTATTTATAACGGCTTACTCAAGTGATTGATATATAGGCGATTCATTCTATTCGGTGGATGATTATGATGTAACGCTATCTTATAAATTCTTGCCTTTCTCGTTCCAGGTAATAACAACCATCATAACCCAACATCCCACTGACCGAAGTAGCCAATTTTGTGTCAGCAGATGGATGGTTCAGGGGAAACCGTGATGGATTTGGCGGTGCGTAACTTCTCGTTGAATGAGAGCAGTAACATAACAGCTGGCTTTGGCGGGCCGCCGAGACATTACAGAGACCAACAGGCAGTATATTACTTCATTCATGCCTATGTCCTACCCATAATCGTTTTCAGTGGGTTGATGGGGAACAGTTTATCATCGTACGCGTTTCTCGAGAAAGGTTTACGAAATATATCGTCTAGTGTTTATGTCCAAGCCGTACTTATATCAGATACTGGCGTTTTAATTTCGTTACTGTTCGTTTGGCTGGAGGTTCTAGGTTACCGCTTCAATCATATGCCAAATCTGTGTCAGTTCCTTGTCTACTGGGGGTATATCTGTACATTCCTGTCAGTCTGGCTTGTAGTCTGTATCACCGTTGAGAACTATGTAACGATCTGTCACCCGGCTCGGATCAGATCGATGTGTACAGTGCGACGTGCGACTATGGTCACCACTTCATTGGCGTTCTTTGCCATGGTCGCCTACTTGGTGTCATTTTTTACTACTACTGTACAAGTCTACAAAGTGGGTGGCAGAAACATTCCCATGTGTCTGCCGTCCCCCGAGCTTCGTGACATTGCGTCCATGGTTGCCTACATCGACACCTTTATCACACTCCTAATTCCACTGATCTTGATCACACTGATGCTTGTCGCCATATCCCTTGCAATTTGTCGGTCCATACAAAACAAGCGGAAACGGAGTGCCTTGAAATCATCTAAAAGCAAAATGAAAATGTCAACCATCCCTCAGGTGAGGGTCGCCAAGATGCTTGGTGTGTTATCGGCTACTTTTCTTCTGCTGAATGCGCCAAGTCACATTACCAGACTGTATCTGAGCTTCCGTCCAAGTGCCTCATCTAGTGTCACCTTCAGGGAAGCGTTTGTACAGCTTGCTCTGCAATTTCTTTATTATTCAAACTTTTCAGTGAAGTTCCTTCTGTTCTTTATTTGCAGTAGAAATTTTCGTAAGTCCTTTAGCAGATACTGTAAACCTGCTTGCTTAACCACTTCCGAAAAATATTCCACAGTTAACTGTGAAACAACAGAAATTGACAATATCCCAAACGGGGTAGAAATTAAGGACAGAAAATCGGAGGAAGATTAAATCGCAGATAAGAAGAAAAAAGGCTCTGTGAGTGTTTGGTGCTTGGTTTGATCATGGTAGGGATTCAGACATTTGACAGACGTATCAGCATACTGATAGGACACAAAGAAAGTCAATCAAAATTGTCGAATACCAGCTGCATCTAAATATTTTCGTGTTATAATCAATGAAAAGTGTCTTTGTTTTGTTTACATTTACTATTGTCATCCTGATGTCCAAACATAAGAAAACTGTCTTAGTTGATGTACAACATTTTCTTTATTCCATCTCTTTAAAAACAATTGTTACTAATTATTTTACTACATTGTATATATGTTTTCAACAAATGCGTTCTCATGTATCCCTTGTAAATTATACTTCCCAATGCATTTAATTTTGCTAACAGAAAAACGAAAGAGAGGAATAAAAGTTATTTCATGAGCAGATAGTATATATATTGATTGGGAGAAAGTAAACCAGATTATTTAAAAATGCCGTACGACTTTGTGTTCCACTTGTATTTATTGTCATTGCCTCTTTCGTTTATGCAAAACGACCGGTTTGCCTGTTTGTAAATGTAACATTTTCGGGTACAAATCCTGCCGGACCTGCTAATGTTTATGTTTGTTTTGAAAGGCTTTTTCAAGGCTCGAATGAAAGCAGCATCAGATTACTACGTCCGACCTTATTTCATAAACGAACAATTCTGATCCAACCGTTTGGATCGCGATAAACGAAAGCGGTCCAGACAGGAAATATTTCATTCGAACATTTTTTTAAACAAAAGCATACAAGGAAAACATATCTCAGCGAGTCCATTTAGGAAAAATCTTACCTTATCAGGTATTATACAACGAACCTGAGTAGAACAGGGAAAGCATGTTGACATTTAACAAATCACAGAAATAGCATACAATTTAACTCCACAAAACGGAGTTAAGCCATAAATTTATGCACTATATATCATTTTTTTACATGCGTAATGTCTCCCATTAAATCAAGCCCGTTGTTAGGTTAATGTGAGGTTGGAATGCCATGAAATGTTTATTTTTAGGTGTAACGTCGTCCGTGACGGGTCGGTCATATGCAGCCTTGTTCCATGAAAAACATCACCGTGAAGAAAGAGAACAGGTAGAAGACAAAAGTACATATTGCTGCTCCAAGTATTAGAATGGGGGTAGCAGACATTTTTGGTTTCTTCAATTTTCCTAAATAGAATGCACAGAAGAAATCGATTTATTTTAAAGAATGATTCTTCATCGGTTGATATAATCTGTATATGGCCTAAAATCCAAAAATAAATCAAACCGTAAATCTAGGAGACTTTGCTTAGTTTTTATTTTGTTTAACGTCTTTTCAACAGCTAAGATCATTTACTGACGCGCGGATCTGATTTGGAATTTAGAGCGCTACCGCACTGAAATACCATGCTGAAGGAACCCAGCCCAGTTTTCCACCAGATCATATCATATTGACAACAGGTGAACCAGTTGTTGCCATTTACGGTATAAAAACAGGGCATAACAACTTCCATTATAAGGACGATTGTATGTTCGGCCTATGGAAAGAATAAATTGCCTACCCCATTTTGGGGAACATTCAGCACTTAGGCCTAACCAAAACTGAGTTAATGTCAAGGAAGGCACTCGGGCACAAAGGTTTCAGGAAGAAGACGGAAAGTACATAAAGATCCCATATGTTGAAATGTGCTTTCTTCATTTCCCCCTTAAATGAAGACAGAAAAAACCTAGTGTGCAAGGGTTCCCACATTAGTCGTTTTTTACGACATTTAATGGTATAAAGGAGGCTTACTATTCTAACTAACCAGCAGGGGACAATATTTGAATTATAGTAGACCCTTGAATAATAGAAACTGGAAACTGGGTTAGGAAATATAGTTAACAGATTAACAATTTGGCCAGAGGAAATACTGTATGTCAGCTATTTCTGATTTGTATCAAATTTTCGCTTTAATCTGTAGAAGTTAGTACCACGAAATAAAGAAGCGATCTTTGTATTAAATTGTATTATGCAAGACAACCAACACTAGCGTGATTGCAAACAGATGAAGATAAAATAACGGAAATTTGATTTTGAACAAATTATCTGATAAGAGGTCTATTAGAATATCTCCGTGCATAAGCAATGAAGGTGGGCGTTCTGATGTTCATATATCAAGACATAGCCATCACAATGACAAAGGAATCTATTAGGGATAACAGTAGTTGATTACATCGGTCTAAAACCTTTGATTTATATATTTTATAAGTAGCATTGACAAATATGCTCACTAAGTGTTCTAGGTAGAGCGCTGCAGTAGTATCAAGGTTGACCAAACTGGAAGGATCTTCAATGAAAAAGTTGTTATCAGTTCCAGTTAACCAGCAAAGGGAAATTTTACGGATTTATGTACAGTGTCATCACACGCCACAGGGTAAGTATTTGGAAGTTATTGACAAGATACCAAGAAGGATAGAGGGGTGAAGTAATGCTCACCACTACTGTTCTAATAGGAACAGGTCAATATTAGTTTATAATGTGTCTTAAATAAGAAAGTATTTAATTGTTCTGTCACCTGATTTTAATTTGGTTACCCGGTTTTGTTTGAGTAACTGGCAATGGGAGAATAGATAAGACTACTTAAGCAGCACTCACAGTAACAAAAAAATGCCTCCTCTAGTTCAAATTTAGAATGAACAGGCAACACAAATGGTCCAACAAATGAATAATACATTAATTGCGCGCCAATCAGATGTTGAGCGTCCGTCCAATTTCAGAAGGCAATAAGGATATGTCTGCAAGCCGGTAGTTGTTATTCCTTGCTTAACGTTCAGCGTTTAAGATTTTCGCAGCAAAGGGCTTTAACCTTTGTCAGTATAATGTGACCGGTTGGAACACTGTGCTGGGTGCCTTCGGCATGGTATTTCAGGGAGGTAGCACTCTAAAGTCAGCATCAGATACGCACTCTAGCAAGGAGGCAAATACACCAACATACCCTGCTTCCATCACACATACACAAATGCACGCAGACATGGAGGCACGTCCTTAAATTGCCATAGCTGTTGAATGAACGTTAAACAAAATAAAACCAAACCAGGCAGAAGTGACAGAGGACGATTTCATAAGTTATACCTATAATAGTCAAGCGTATCTCCAAAAGACAACCCATTTACTGTCAAATATTTTCGATCGGGTGTGCTTATTTTAAATAAATACATGGACAAAGTCTATCACAAAAGTCTATCGAGCAATAACTGTGAAAAAATAATTTATTCTGTTTTCTGTGCTATAATATACACCAATAAACATGTTGATTAACATTCAATTGCTTTGTACAGAAAAATGTGATGTCATGTTTAACAACTATTTCAAACATTTTAACCTTTTAGTATTATTCACTATACAACCAACTACCCATCCGTGCCGAAGGAGCACAGTGCTCGATCATTATACTGAATAGGGGGAATCCAGTCATTGTCTTACCCTATATGCTGAACTGTAAGCAGGACATATTTAACTACCATTGTCAATGTCATCAGCCTGGGGAGAAAACGTATCACTCCCCAACTAGGCCAACGTTCTGCAATATAGGCAAAAGAGATAAAGTGCTTTAACAGAGCTAAACGAAGCATAAAGAATAAGTAAGGATAGAATAATGAAAAGATACATTGGTGCGGTTAACACATTATTTTCGCGATAATACATACATGTGTTATGTCCTGCAAGAATCATTGAGTACGAGATTATTTCCTTGCCTAAAAAGGATGCTGTTGATTGCCGTTTCAAGACATCCGACTCGACAAGGCTGGTGTGGTTGTACCTATCAAGCATAGCTTGCGGGTTCATCGAAAAGCGATAACTCGCTTAAATATCATTAAATTTTGATTGTATGCATTATATGAAAACTTAAGCAAAGTTCGAAGTTAAGCAAACTTCATGCATAATTAAAAAGCCTACTTTCTCTGATTGGGCAAAAAACACTTACTTAAGTTTCTGTGGTGTGATTGGATGACGGTTTCTGCACAATACCCTTTACAAAATAAAACCAGATTCTAATGAAACTTGGCCAATTCTTGTCAATGACAAAGGCTCAGTTTAAATGTGAGCAAAATCTTTACATAATTTATTAAAACAGTGCTATCTTATTCGTTGACGGTTTACTCACATGACCTAGTCAAATACGGCTTATAGTGAAATCTGTCACCATAGAAGTTAGTCGATTATGGGCAAAAGGGTCATTTCAATTTATGTTATCATGGTCTTTGTTTATTCAAAGAGAGACATTTCCTAAGAAAATCGTTTTTTAAAGGTCTCTCAGGATAATTGGAATACATAGATATTCCTTGTGCTTAATTTTACTTTCACCTTTCTCCGCATTCCAGAAATAGTTATCAAAATTCATGGGTAATACAGTACAAATGTTTCTTCTCCTTACAATCATGCATCATAGAAAGGATTTTAAGAATTATTTGGCATGGGATGGTCGTATATTGTTCAGACCTACCGTACTCTTGTCGTCTCCGACAAGGGACAGAATTAAAAATCACGACGCCCTCGTTGCTTCAGGTGGAGGGCACAAAGGCGTACACAAGCGTCTTTAAAACAACTGCTGCCTGAAGAAAGTAGGTCATTAATGTTTTATGTCTCTGAACCTTCAGAAGCTGCTCAGCCGATCTGGTGAATCAATATGGTATATAGGGGACATTGTTGTACAATGTTCCCCTGTGGTCAACGTATCGTAATTACTTAGATGCTTATCAACTCTCAGAGAAATTTTACTTACGACAAAAAAGTACCCCGCCACTAAAACATATACTACACAATCAAAGTGGTCATAAAGATATTTGCTATACATGTAGCTAACACCCGAACGTAACAGAGTCACAAAACAACAAAAGTCTTAGACTAAGATAACATGTTTTAAGTTACAGTAGTATAACTTGTTATTTTCCATTTTAGACTATATCTAAAAAAACAAATTGAAAAGAAATACAAAAAATTGTGTAAATAGCCATTAACACTGATTACAAATATAGATTACCTTGTTGTATACGTTTTGAACAATGTATGACAAATATGGCTCAATAACACAGAACATTTATGAAAACATTTTTCAACACAATAAATTTGTCAAAGATTTTCGCAAAATTTGAAATTTTCAACATTCTTTTGATAAGATTATTATAACATTTTAGCAGTGTATTTACGTGAACAGCTTTTAACCTGTTATCATTCAGTTTCTTTTTGGTGCATCAAGTTTTGTATTTGCCCCTTATGATTATTGTCAAGCCTGATATGACTTCAGCGTTGATTAGCCGATTAAAATAAATTAACTTAACTAGTGAAACATCTGCTATTCATTTAGAATATCAAGCAGAAAATAGTTTTAAAAATGGGCTTTAATATATACTCCTTAAACACAACGTACGAACTACATGTCCAAAGAAGAAGGTTTTGAGACT